ACAGTAGTTTTATAGAATTAAAACCACATTATAGTAATTTTTTTACCATGACATCAATTTTAAGACAATCTTAAAAATTTCTTTAAGGAATTTTAAGCTTTTTTATTTTTCCCTTCAATTCAACAAATCTATAGAATTATAAGGCCTTCTTCGGTCTTTTTATTTTCAAAAAGTTAGCTATACTATTTTTCTTTTTAGAAGTTTTACTATAAGTATGTTATAGTATATTAAAAATATATATAGAGAGAGAATTTTTTCATCTTAAAGTTAATTAACACATGTAACAAGAGGTCATTAGTTCAAATTCCTCCCTCTTAGTTGTACTAAAAAAAAGTTAAATTTGAAATGTAAAAATTGAAATGAATTATATTATAATATGAAAAAAATGGATACATGGAAATTAGGAGGTGTGAAGTTATTCCATATGTAGAGCGTTAGCATTATGGTAAGCAATGGAAATGCAAAGTTATTCCATATCTATATAGAAAACATACCCATAAATGAAATGTAAGAATTATATATTAATATATCGTGTGTAGGCATTGGCATTGGTAGGATTGAAGTAAAAGAAAAATGAGAAGGAGTAGGAGGATGATTGATTTGAATTTGGGAGAAACAACGAGCGGTTTTGATCTGGAAAGAGCAGTTTGCAATCATGGATTTTTCATGATGCCTCCAAACAAATGGATTCCTTCTTCCAAAACTCTGCAGCGTCCACTTCGACTCGCTGATTCCACCACTTCTGTTCTCGTCTCTATTTCTCAACCTTCTTCTCATCTCCTCAACATTCAAATCCATTCCTCCCCATCTTTCTCCCCTCTCGATCGCCAGGCTATATTGGTAATTATGCTACTATACCTAAACATTGTTCATTCTATATTAACCTGGAATCGAATTAACCATTTAAAAACTTTTTTGGTTATTGGTTTGTGTTTGTAGGACCAAGTCACTCGAATGCTTAGGATTACAGAAAGGGATGAAGAAAACATTAGAAATTTCCAAAATTTGCATGCGAAAGCCAAAGAGATTGGGTTTGGTCGACTCTTTCGTTCTCCCACTCTGTTTGAAGACGCAGTGAAGTCCATCCTTCTATGCAATGCCACGTGAGTAATTTTACTTTTCTTTAACTAATAATTTCTATAAATATAAATAAAATATAGAAATAATTGGAATGCTCAGGTGGAGAAGGACATTGGCAATGGCTGGACAGTTGTGTGAGCTACAGGCCAAACTGGGCCGAGGCCCAATTACTGATGGCAAGAAAAGAAAACGGAAAGGCAAAGGAGAATGCGAATTGGAGGGAGGGAATTTTCCAACTGCGGCAGAACTTTGTAGAATGAGCGTTTTGTTGTTGCAGAAACATTTTATTGGTTACAGAGCAGTTTACATCATTGACCTCGCTCAAAGGGTTCAAAATGGCAAAATCGATTTGCAAAAGATTGAACGAGCTCTTTCCTTTCCTAAAATCAAAGGCTTTGGTCCTTTTACAACCGCCAATGTGTTCATGTGCCTCGGACTCTACGATCGACTCCCGATCGATACTGAAACCATAAGACATTTGAAACAGGTACGTCCTTTTTTGTTGATAAAAGTGTCAATTATTATTGAGTTAAGTTATAATTTTTTTTCTCTTTTCTTACTTAATATTCATGGAGAATTCATAAATTAAATTTATCCAACCCATCAGATTAAGCTTTTGATTGAATGGTGGTTTTTTCATTTTTAAGATTATAACTTAGAGGGATGTCTTGTCCTCGAACCACAGCATTGTTATTTCCTTCCCATTTATAATGATTTCTACTTGGACATTGTGCAATTATCCAAGCCTCTACTAATCTTTAACGATATTAGTCAAAATTACAAAATAAATAAAATTATTACAATATAATATGATTTTCTTTAAATAAATTATTGTTGTTGTTGGGTTAACCAAAAAGGTACATGGAAGGCAAGATTGCAACATGAAGACAGCGGAGGAAGCTGTTAAAGATGTTTACGACAAGTACGCTCCTTTTCAATGCTTGGCCTATTGGTACGTCCATATACTCTACTCTCCACATTCTTTAAAAAATAACTAATTTTTTTTTTCAATTTTTAAACTTTTATTCTTACTCTAATTTGTATTATATTTTAAATTTTCAAATAATTTTTTAGTGGTTTCCTTAACTTTATATGTATGGAAAGCTATTTCATTCTTTACTGTTAATTGCACTTTGGGTTGGATGAATGAGCAAATCATAAGTATATATCATAAGATTAAAAAGGGAAAATTGAAGGTTTAAGATGAAATTTAAACATTGAGATATTTATTATTATTATTTTGCAAACTTTCAGGATGGAGCTTGTTGAGTATTACGAAAGCAGATTTGGGAAGCTAAGTGAATTAGGTTGGCATGATTATAAAAAGATTAGTGGCACCACCAGGCACCCTTAACCGTTGATTATTTCCTCTCCAAGTTTATATCTATTCGTTTCAAATTTATTTTCATTTTGGATTTAACTAAATTGTAATATTTTTTATTTATTCATTATTAGAAAGAAAGATCGACTCATATTAAATTAAAATAAAATCGGATCCATATTAAAAAGAAAAAATCAGATCTGAACAAAAAAAGAGCTTACTTATTTTGGTTGTGCCATGTCATGAAAGACATTCTTTTCTTATTTTTGTAGATGTTTAATTAGATAAAAGAATTATATTGTATTCGATAACATTTTCATTCTACGTTCTTTATTTCAACTTGGAAAAAGGTTTATTTTTCACATACGAAAATTTTAAAATATTTGGATTTGATGTGAAGGTCAAAATACACAAGTTCTTTAGTTTAAGAATATTAAAAAATAACAATTTAAAAATATATGTTAACAATCTGTAATTACATGCTACAATCAACATTTTATGTATTTTCTTCACCCAAAATTATTATAATTGTGTCAAAACGTTACATATCTTCTTCACGGTCAGAATTTCTCAACCTTTTGTTTACCAAAAAAAAAAAAAGTTTATTGTTGGCTGCTGTTCAATTTCTTTTTTCGTTTTCTTTTTCTTATGGCAAACAATCAAAAAAGCAAAAGAAATCATATTGCACACCTACACATAGATATACGAAATTAATTAATTTAATATATATATTGAAAAGAGATTTTTTAGCCAACAAAATCCGGAATAATCTAGTTTGTAAAGTCAACCTACAAAAATATATTCAAGCACAAATATGGGAAAGAGAGACAATATATAAAACCCTAACTTTAAATCCTAAACCATAATTATAAATAAATAATTTGAAAATTTAATTTTTATTTAAAAAAATAAATAAGAAATGAATCAAATGTGTATTAAACTGGAAAATATTTAAAATCAAATTATTTACAATTACACAAAAATAATTAAAATATAATTGTAAATATTTTGTTCTTCTATTGCCAAAGCGAGGATAGTTAAAAAAAATTATTCTTCTACCCAATAAATATTTTTTATTGGGGGTTAACCACATGCGGCCGACCTAAGTCAACCGAGATCGGAAGAGTCGACCCGACAGGTTGGCCTGAACAACTTTGATCACATAAGGGAGTCGCCAAGCTTCTTCTTCGAGGATGAGGAACGGACTGACCACTGCCAAGGACCGACAGTTGCTCGACGGGCCCTTGCCGGAGCAACAAAATACACGGATGAGACATATATGATATAGAAATGAGTGATCACGTAGTGTACGAGGAAAACCTACAAGAGGAGCAAACTAAATGTAACGCATGTTATATACCATTCTAGGTAATGCTAAATAATCCACCTGTGTAGCCTTAACTCTAAACACGAGATAACCAACTCACTGGGAAATAATTTAAACAAAATAAAGCTTCGACTCCCATAATTCCAGAAAAAATATCAATTTTATAAACTGTCAAAACTTCGCTCTCACTGGGCAATTTCAAAAAAAGACATCTCATGTCCGCCTCAGTGGCTAAAATTCTTAAATAAATAAAACAATCGTACACCTAAACTCCAACGACAACAGTGACGCGTTTAACAATAACATCCATAAAAAAAAATAGTTCTAAAGAAAACAAAATCGCTCCTCGGGTCCACACCTAACAATAACATAAATCCCAACGCTACTCGTACCAAACGACCCTTCCCTCTATCCTCACTAACTCGACTAGTGATCCCTCCTCAGTCAAGCCCCCTCCACGTCATCACCACGGTCGGCCCTGTTCACACCTGAAAACAAATAAGGATAAAAAGGGGGTGAGTACATAAGCTACTCCGTAAGTAGCCCTTCCTAACTAACACAAAAATCATGCTCACAGTCACGACATATAAAATAAAACGATGGCAAGACAATTAAATAGACAGCGAGAGATAAAAGACAATAACTTGACATTTACATACAACAACCATGCGTCGGAACTACCAAGACTACAACCATATGATTCACTAGCCCTTGTCCCACAGTACTAAACCTCC